AAAAAAAAAAAAAAAAAAAGAAAAAAAGCAAAAGCAAAAAAACCTTAACGAGGTCTGTTTTTTTTCGGACAGATGTAATAAAAGTTTTCAAGGAAAATTTCCTCCCTGCCTTCTGTAAACTCCAGGCAGGATGCCTTCCTTCAGGCTTATTTTCGGGTCAGAACTGTAGTAGCTGTTGGGATTAAATGAATACATATAAATTCGCATTGCCTCCTCATTTTCTGCATCTCTTCAGCTTGACTTTGAGACTTGTCCTTGTCCCTCTTACTGTTCATTTCAATGGCAGTTTCAACCACTCTAGGTTGAACTGTAGTAGTACATTCTCCCTGAATTCACCTACAACCTCCTTTGTGTATTCTTATCTCCTTTGGGCTGGTACTTGTTTGATCTTGTGGTGAGCTTGCTGTTCCATCAGAAAAGTAGCCCAGGGAAGATCACCTGCTTTCTTCAGTAGTTATTATGAATTCACATCTGCTCTACTCTGTGCTTCACAAACTTCTCCAAAGCTGAGCATGGTCCCATGTTATGGGTTGGAAAAGACCTTGAAGATCATCCAGTTCCAACCCCCCTGCCGTCAGCAGGGACACCTTCCACTAGACCAGGTTGCTCAGAGCCTCATTCAACCTGGCCTTGAACACTTCCAGGGAGGGGCATCCACAGCTTCTCTGGGCAACCTGTTCCAGTGTCTCATCACCCTCACAGGAAAGAATTTCTTCATCAGATCTCACCTCAATCTCACCTCTTCCAGTTTAAAGCCATCACCCCTTGTTCTGTCACTCCCTGCCCTTCTCAAAAGTGCCTCCCCACCCTTCCTGTAGCCCCTTCAGGTACTGGAAGGCAGCTAGAATGTCTCCCTGAAGCCTTCTCTTCTCCAGGCTGAACAGCCTCAACTGTCTCAGCCTGTCTTCATAGGAGAGGTGCTCCAGCCCTCTGATCATCGCTCCTCCTCCTAAGATGCGTAGGTGACACAAGGTAAACAGGAAGCCTTTCTCCAGCCTTCCATACGCACTTTTTAACAGCATGTACAATGATCAGCAGTTATTCTGTGTACTGAACAAATACAGACAGCTATACCACCAACCACAGGTGAATACAAACTTCTGTAATGTGTCAAAGAAAGGACAAAAAGTATACGATCTCAAAATACTAAGGTGGGTTTTCTGTAGCCTGAGATAACCTATGGGAAACATATTAACGTGTAATTAAGTCATTAAGGTATGTTCAGAACTTCTACCAGCATCAAAAGACATAAGAGCAGCTTGCCCTCTGTTAGGGCAAAGGTTTATCTGTTCTAATATTCTGTCACAACAATCAGTTCTTAGGAAAGCATATAAGAACAAGGCTGCCATGTAGTAGTGATGTGTCTTCAGAACAGCCTCCTAGCCTTCAACAGTTTGTGGCACAGGGATTTCTCAAGGTGGGGTTGGTGCCTTTGCATTCAAAGGCTTTTGGTGGATATCTTTCCTCATGTGATTGTCAAGTTGTTTTCTGAATATTTAGCAGCTATCACATACTATGGAAGGAAGGCCCATAGGTTATACTCTGTGTGATGATGGTTTAATTTTTCATGTTTTAACCAGCTTGTTTCATTTGATACTCTTGATTCCCATTATAGGAAAAAAAAAAAATAACCATTCCCATGTACTCTATCTGTGCTAATCCTTAGTTTTAGACTGCTAGTACATCCCTTCTACGGTCTTTTGTTCAGCCATCAAGACTCATACTCTATGTGACCATTCTTTTACTGAAGCTCTTACATACCTCAGATTAATCTGACCTATTTCCAGATTTACTAAATCCTTTCTGAGATGTTAAGCAGACTCAGGATATAGTAACACACTTTTTTTTTTTTTAAAGTGCAAGAATGGTATTCCCTATTCTATTCCCTTTTAAAAACCACTTCTGAGATCTGATTTGCTTTTTTGACTGGTGCTGAGCACTGAATCGACATTTTCACAGGTTTCACTTGAATAGACCCAAGACCTCATTTCTGTGTGGTGGGAGGCAGCTCAGAGCCAGTACTTTTTGAGTGGCTCTTTCTTCCATCAGTTCTTCTGAAGACACTTCTGATCCTTTGATGAGCATCCAATAGGAATCTCCCAGACACTTCTACTGTGAATAAAAAGTAACCATTTCAGTTAGATACTCCACTATGGGTTTATCTTCTCTGAGTGTTTCTTAGTTGTCTCTATCCCTACAGTTTTTCTGACAGTTTTCTTAAATGTGAGAAGAAAGATTTATTAATAAGTTATTGCCTATAGCAATTTGTTCCTCAAGCTCTTGTCTTGCCTACCTTGTATGTTTTTACTTTTAACCTGTCGTGGTTTATGATCCTCATTTGGACATAAGAAGTGCTTACGCGCCACCAGACAGTGTGTCTAACAATTATTTTTTAATTAACAGGATATTTTTACAAGGCAAGATATAACTGCCAGTAAGACACATTACTTTTTATGTTGCCATTAATTTTATGTGTTTGCTTAGCACTAATGCATAAGAAACACTGCAGCTAAACTGGTCTTCCAGTATCTTTACCTTGCTATTGAACACAGTGTTAAAATACAAATTCAGTGAAATAAATCTACCAACTCTAGGGTAGATCATACTAGATTAAATAAACTTTATAAGACTTTATCTATCAGTGGTAATAACTTGGAATGTTTTGTTGGAGAGGATTTGAAGAAGATATGTTAAATAATTATTAAAATATAGAAAAATCTGAATACTGTGAAGTAGTTCACTTTTTTGCTGAGGTTGCATAAATGTAATCAGATGAAGATTGATATAACTGCACTTATTTTTAGATTTCAGAATTTCAAGAAAAACATCGTAAGCATTTATTAGCATACCACAAACAAAAGGTAACTCTCATTGTGATTTTCTTATTTTTGTTGCATATGGTTGCCTTATTACTTTAGTTTATTTTTAGAAAATATATTTACCTTTTATTATAATACTTAGAATAATTTATCAGGATTGCCTAATTTCTGTCACTATAAATACCAAGTTTTAATTGTTTAAAATCTGTGAGGACTTTATTAATTATGGTTACTATTATTTAATAAAACAGATGTTAGTTGTGGGATGACTGAGATTAAATGGACAGTCAAAGGACAGGGAGAGAAGAAACCAGTTCACTGTATGCAGGAGAAAGTGGAAGAGAGAGAGTGGTGCTCAGATGATAAGCCTAGAAGAAAAGAAAACTAGGGCTGATAAACTAAATTAGAAGCTTGAGCAATGGAGAACCAGACTAAGGGCTAGTACCCTGAATTAGGGATAGCTCAATGGGAAGAGAAATAGCATTAATTATTGTGTGGAGAACCAGTACTGAAGTTGTGACTATACCTCTTCTTCTGTAGCTTGGAAAAAAATATATTTTTCATTTCTCAGCTAATTCTGAGTCTTTGATAAAATATTTGGCTATTTCATTCATGTCTAAGGACACGGCCAGGTATATTACTTAAAGCTACTTGTCAATACTGGTCGGTGAATCAACCCCTCAGTAGGTTCCCTATGTATAAAATGATAGAGGCAAACTGATATAGCTGGCTAATTGGCCATTTTGTGTGAGGAGAGCATCTGACGTGGTTCTCATGGATAGAACAGCTTGGAAACTTAAGCGCTTTGTGGCCCGTTCTCCCCTGTTGTTCGTGACTGCATTTTGGGATCAGTCCTAGTGTACTGTGGAGTGGGTAGTTCTTTCAAGGTCGTGTCCTGCTTTCAAAGCCAGGCCATAGAGGAACTGATTTTATGCCCCCTTCTAATTTATTGTACTGAGTCCAGATGGTAAAACTGAAACCTATAGACAAAGTAAAATAAAGTTCTTAATAGAATTTTCCATAAATGGAAATGTTATTTCCAAAAAATCTGTGCAGAGTTTTGATACTTTTTGATGGTAAGTTTCAAAGTTATTTACTGTTGAGGTACTCGTTTAACAGTGGTTGTAAAGTACTCAGGGACAGTGCTTGACCTAAGGGAAGTGTTTAAGTGACAGTTCAGAAACAGATGAAGATTTAGTTGGTTGCTATTTCAATGGCACACAGGTTGGGGTGTTTTTTGTTGTTGTTTTGTCCATTCTATGTATTTGCTAGTATTTTAAAACAGCCTGCATTGGATCAGGGTCAGAAGAGGCCGGTTGTCTTAAACACCCTGTGGCTAGCACTGGTGAGGCTGTTCTGGTGGAGAAATGGTTTCAGAGTGAGGCTGAGGTGAGCAAGGAAGAGAAGAGTATCCCTGTGCAATTATATACCTATCTCCTTCCTGTGTGTTTCAGTTAGTGATGCTGCCTCTTTCAGAGCTCCTGGGAGGGATTCTGAAGGAGTTGTGGAATCTGCCAGCTTTAGATCACATCTGGCAGAGGCACACAGGATGAGAGAGTGGGAGTAGATGCTCACACTCAGGGTCTTTATCTCTATTGATTCTTCCTTCCACTGGTTTAGAGACGAAGGTGAGTGGGAAAAGGATGGAGTGAGAATGATTCACAGTATAAAGAGTTTGGCAAATGGCAATAACTCCTGGGGAGGTGAGGAAGCACAGGTCTACCCTGTAACACAAGTGCTTCTTCCTGCCATTCTCCACTCTGCAGGTCTTGGCCTTTGGGAATGGCAGAGTACTGCATAAGGAAATTCACGACCGGGTTCTCATGCTTGACTACCTTGTTTGTGGTCCCCTTCCTTATTTCTAGTATGTCATCCTTGCCACTGTCAACCAACAGCTCTCATGACCTTGATAAAAGCTTCTTTGATGTTGGTTCTGGGAGCTGTACAGATTCTGGGGTGCAGATGGTGGTGTGTGGTGTGGGCACTTGATGTCCATATTCCTGGCAAGTCTAGACCCCATGGTATTGAAAACCAAATAGTTATTCACCTTCTTTAAGGCATTTTGACCTTAAAATAATCCAGTCCTACAGAGTAACAGGGTAAAGTAAGCTGTTCCTGACATCTGTGCTGGTCACTCTCTTAAGCAAACCTAGGTCCCATTAGGAAAAAGAAAAAAGAATATAAAAAACCGCAGATCTTGTATATATTAGATTTTGTCTTAAATCTGTTTTGTGGAGTTTCAGATCTGCAAAAAGAGTATAATATCTCCCACAAATAATAAGATTTTATAAAGATATATCAGGTAATGTTATTAAAGAATTCAAATAATATTGTGAGCATGAAAAGTTAACAAGAAAATTGTTAAATTGTCAATCAAAATATGAATAGTTTTAAGTAATGAAGGACTAAGGTCACACAATGGAAATTAAGGATAAATATAGATGCAGTATTGAGGCTCTTGAGTAAATTTTTATGTCCTACCTAAAATATAATGTATGATCATGCAATGAAAAACTGTAAAAAATACCCATGCTAGGGAGCTGACCTAATGATCTTGACCATAATGTTCTTCAATTTTGCAAGCTCATAACATTTTTTAACAGAGATATTTTTGTTTGTGTCTATAATATAATAGGAAATACTCTTCACATGAGCTTATTACAAATAGATACTGCAAAGAACCAAATACATTTTAAATCTGAAATGAGAAATATGGGAACAGTATTTTGTACAGTTATCAGTATCTTTTCCAGATAATTCCATATTAAATACAACATAACTTTTATATCAGATATGGAAAAGAGGAAGCAAGATAAAAGCAAACTATTTGTAAGCATTTTTCTTTGTATTAATTTATCCAGTATTACCAGCACACTTAACAAAATATAATCAAATAAATCTGTAACTGTCAAAAAGAAGCATATTTTTTTCAGACTGAGTGTTTAAGGGATCCATATAACAGCTATAGTCTTGTCCCAGTAAATCTGGAATAGCAATGATAACTAAGATTAAAAACAATAGAAAACAGCCTTTCAACAGTTTACTTGTATGAAAATTAGGTTGTATATCACACAAATAGATTTTGTTTAAACTTATGATTATCTCACAGACGGTAAAGTTGGAAGAATCTCTCAAGAAAGTAACACAACAAATGCACCAGATACAATGGTAAGATGTTTAATACAGTAAAAGTAAACGAGAAATAGTCTTGGTAATCAGACTACAGTAATTGAAAACAATAAAAAAATCATGCTTTTTTGCCTTTCTCATATATTGTGTTATATAAATAGAAGAAATGTATTTTTACAGAAATAAATTATTTCTGTCATCAGGTCCATTTTCTTCACATTAATCTAGCCTATCAGAAAGAAATCCTTTTATTTTTAAATTCAAGTCAGTAGCTACTTTTAGCAGTCCCTGTCATATAGATATTCAGTGCTAAAATTTCTGTTTTCATTTACATTAACATGTTTGTGTTTTTTCCAATGAGCTTTAGAGCATCAGTCTGGAAAGTACTATGATATCTTTCCTACCATCTAGTCCATTTAAAAAATTGCAAGAGTTTTGTAACATGATTCTCAACTTCTCTGTTTCTAGTAAAAAAATCAACTTCTTGACTCATCCTAAATTAGTCTTTTTCGCAAATGCATCAAAGACATGGCCAAGAAGTAGCTTATTGTTATCCCCCTGCTCGTTGACTGATACACCTTAATCTTTTAATTTTATTTCCAATTTAAAGCCAAAGTTCTTATTGATCCCTAAATGCACTCTGTACTATTACTTTTCATTTCATTAAATTTTATTACAATTTTTTTGTTTGAAAATATCAAATTTTTAAAATAATTGTGTAGTTCTTCTCAGTATTGATGTAACTTTCTATCTTCAGAACTTTCTGTCTTCAGATTTCACAAACTGCCAGCTATCCCTGAGTCATCACGGAGTATATTGAACAGGAGTAGTTGCAAGATTAAATTGAAGGGGGCATTACTAATAATGTTTCTGCACTCTTCTCACCTTTTTTGTTGCTGTTTCCCTTTTAACATTATTTGTGTTGTACTTACTTGAATTAATCACACTTATCTCTACTTTAAAGTCCATGTGGCCTATCTGGCACTCTAAATTGATGTTAAATTTAGTGTTTAAATTGAATTAATGAATAAAAAATGTACTATCTTATTACTGTTTAAAAAATCTTCTTACATAAAACAAAACAAAAGAGATATCAGAGTTATCCACCTGTTATGAAATTATTACATTTTCCATATAACATTTTTTTCTATGTCCTGTTGTATCCTTCCCATTTTTTAAGATTTCAAAAACTATTGGGGAAAAAACCTAACAGACTTAGTCTGCTTTTCCCTTTTAGGGAAGACAGGTAGCAATAGTACTTAGTATACAGTTACAATGTACTTCTCCCTGTAGATCCATCTTCTTGAGAGAAGCCCTTCATAAATGCCCCTCTATGAACACCAGTGATCAATGATGCTGAAATGTCCTTAATAAGCCAGTGCACGAAGCCAGAAATTTATTGCAAAATTTTGGTGATCTATATTCCTTTTCTGTGTTTTTTCAGTATAGACTCACTCTTGATTCTGATGTGCACCTAATACTGTATTATGGTCTCTTATGCTTCTTGGTGCAATATTACTGAAAGAAAAAACAGTATAAAGGAAACTATGTACATGGTAGATTATCATAGTTTATACATTTTTATCCACTGCCTCCTTTTCCTTGTCTGCATCTCAAATAAATAGCATCTCAGTTATACCAAATACAGAGTTCTTACTGAATTTCAGATTTTTCAGAGTTCTACCAAGAAAGTAGAGCTTCTCCTTGCATGCCCAGTAGACATCTTCCTCCTATGTATGATTATGGGCAAAGGTATCAGTTTTATGTAGCTGTTGGTGAACAGCATAAGTATGCCAACATTTCTTTTGGTAACTAGATTTTTTAATGTTTGGGAAATTTATACATCAAAATGAAGATTTTTGGCTCAACTGTAGTTAATAGTTGTATTTTAATAACTATTGTTCCATAAAGTACTTTGCCATAATGTTATCCTAAATTGCTATGGTTGGGAATGTAATGACTGATAGAGACATTATGATATAGAGAAGTAGTTAATAGCTTATTAAATGGACTGTTATTTTGCTTCAAGGCAAATAGTGTCATGTTAAAACCAGCTTTTGATAGATAAAATGCTTTGATTTTATGCTTTATTGAACAACTCGATAAATGAACTAACCAAACCAGCTTTCAATCTATAGCTGTTTCTTCTGTTTCCCCTTTAGTATGAAACCTCCTGAACAAACTACACCACTACCATTTTCCAATACAAGTAGAAATCCACTTTCCAGTAAGAAACATTGGTTTAAGATACTAACTATGCAATGCATATCACTGGATATAGCTATGTTCTAACATTAAATTTATTGCTGACTTTAGTTCCTTCAAGAAAACAGAATGGTTATTCTTCATGTTCTCTTCATCCTAGTCATCCTTCCACTTCTGAACTGTAGGTACAAATCTGTTAATTTTCAGTGAAAATCTTAACAGTGACAGCATGTGGATATTTTATACACAAAACCTTTTCTTTTATAGTGATTTTACAATAAGTAGTTTTCTGATTTTGTGTTTTGTTTCTGCAAACTCTGTAAGTATGAAAGAACTTGGGAGAATCTTCTCTATCCAAGTGCACATAACTACTTGTATAGATTGCCTCTGTACTCACTGGAAAAAATTCTAAGGCATGATGCACCTTATTCTAAAGACTTTCTGGATAGATAGATTGATTAATTAGTGAAGAACTATGGGAAAAAGATAAATTACTTGTACAGACACCTATAGCTACATTGTAGTTGTCTGAAGTTAGATGGGATGAACTCCAGTAAGGCTCATTAAATTTTAAATAAGTTGAACATACAGCTTGCTTAAGCTAAAAGATTTCTATACCTGTTAACTGTTGACTGTGACTTTATTTTTTATAAAAACTAAAATTGCAGAATGCCCTTGCTATGGAGACTGATGAAAAATATTTAAATAAGCATATTTATTCTGAATTAAATACAAGAATAACAATGCTAATCACAAAATAACTTTCTCTGTAAATGTCTAAACTAAAGCTCAGAATTAATTAATAGATTTTTCTTACTGCTAGTGGGTTTTGGAACAAGTCCTAAATACTCATATGTGTTTTGCATTATGCATTATGGTTTTCCAATATTAGTCAAATTTAACATGAGAGCATAATTTTAGTCATTATAATGCATGTGATATTTTAATTACAATGTCATACTTATTTTGACCTTTGTTGTAAGAATGGAATCGATGGAGATTGATCCTGTTCCTTCACCAATGAGGAAAGTAAGTGGTTTTTTTGTATATATGTTTAGATAGATAGATAGATAGATAGATAGATAGATAGATAGTTGGATACCCTACCCTCTTAATACTGCAAAAAATAGGATCCCCCGTCCCATTCAAAACAATTCTTATCTACATGCTGGTTTCAGCTATGTCTAATTCTTAGTAGTAGTAGTCAGATTCTTCCCAAAAATGAATCAAAAGGAAATAAATCACAACATTGATTTCTGGAATGATATTTTCCATATGCTATATATAGGTTTTTAAACTTCTGATGCTGAATTAAATGGCAAATTCTTGAAATCTCAGTATGTTTATATTACAAAAATGTTGTAACTGTTTCCAAAATAAGTGTTGCTAAAGCATGAAACTGAGACTTGCAATTAAATGTAAGTTCTAATATATTAAGGAATGTAAATTTCCACCTTCACCAGCCTCATGTAGAGGCCTGCAGTGCAGATCTACACGAGTATCTCAGGGTTTCCTTTATAACCTATGAATTGGTTATATCCAATCAAAAACCTATATATAGGTAATACCTATGGATTAGTATGTGTGATTCATCTAATTCTAAAGCAAACTCTCATTCCTCTTCCTCTTACTTGACCATAAAGGGAATTTCAGGGCATCAGGCTGGATGTAAATGCTGTCATTGCAGATGTCTGAAGTTATAAGAGCTGAATCACTTGGCACTCTTAATTTCATGTTGCACTGATTTTCAAAACTTTCCCAAAATTTCATATATGACACTTACAAGATTTTTTTTTTAAGTCACAAATCAAGCCAGTCATTATCTTTCACCTTTCACAAACAATTTTGTCTGCTGCTTGACCAGATGATCTTCTATCTATGCTCAAGGGCATCAACATGTGTATAGTACCTTCACATATTAGAGAAAAAACTAGGTGTAGAGGTCAATGATCTGAATGAAAGCAGTGTTAGAACCTGATGTTGAAGTAGGGAATTGCAAGCTTTGATTGACATCTCTGGGATGAGAATGAAGGCAGGAACTTTTCTGTATTAGTATTCTGATTAGGAGAGTTAACATCCAGGAACAGTTACTAGCTTAAGAGTGGAATCGCAGCTCAGAAAATGATGTAAGTGTCTGATATTTTTCTTATCTGAATGTGACAGAGAGGACTTCCTGGAATAAAACTAAACCTCATGTATCTTCCCCTCCTCCTATAGATCTCTAAAAAATAGTAATTTAATTCTGAGGTTTTGCATTTTAGTGCTATGAACTAAACTGGCAGCAGAGAGCGCCAGAAATCTGCAGGCTTTATAGACTACAAAAATGCAACACTGTTGCTTAAAATATCTTAATAATTAACAGACTTATCACACTGTAATTAATACGTTGCCATTCACTTAGCCTGAGACACCGACTGGTCCAACAAGATTGTCATTAATAACTCCACCGCAAGATGGACGTATGGGTGAGTAAAAATATGGTTTGCAACTTAAGAGGATTACTAAGTTAAAATCCATACATTAGCAGTTTACTGAGAAAACCTAAATTATGTTGAAGTATGACGAACTTATTGTGTAGACATCATGGGAAATGGTTAAAAATGAAGAATGAAGTAAGTCTTCCTAGTAATGAAGTTAAATCTTTCTCTATTCTGTGAATAATTACTTATAACCAAAATCATTTTTGCTGAGCAGAGTCAACAATTGCAAAGAAAAAACTGTAATTTCGTGTATGGTTGAACAAAACAGGCGCACTTGTAATATATGTTGTTGACCCTCTATTAACCTTTATAATTATATTTGTTTATAGTTACTAGAGATTAATATTGTCCATAACATCATGTTAAAAATCCTAATGCTCTGCAGGTCTACCATTCATGTGTCTCCCATTCTTGGTTTTGCATTCAGCATGTTTCTATAACAGTCCATTCTCAGACAGCCTTTCACCTGGCTTCAGCAGTTAATAGAATCCATCTCAAGCCACATAAGGAGCTTTTAGCACTGTGTTTTTACATGGTGTAAACGTCCCAAAACAAAGATAAATACAGTTGCAATTTATTTGTGATGAAGGAGCAAAAATTGCTTTTTCTATGTTATGTCTGATTTACATATTCAGTTCATTCCTAAATGCATGCTTGCCTGTAAATTTATGGACAAGACAGTGAGAGTTGAGGTTAACTGATTTTTTTATTGTGTCTAAATATGAATAGATATTTAATTAGACAGTAAAATTATATGTAGAACAGTTGTGTGTTCAGCACATTTCAGAATCAACCCATAAAGTTTTGCAGTGGACAAACCTGAATCAAAGCTCACTTGCAAAACTAAGGGCAAGTAGAAACAATGATTTAGTGGTACACTAAAGGAAGTTTCTTTCTCAGAGATGGTTGAGGCAAAAAAGAATAGCTGAAGAACTGGGGCACCTCAGCAGAGCTATTGTGATAGTCTAATAATAGTCTAATAAATGAGAGAAGGTGAAAGAAACCAGCATATGTGTTTAACTTGAAATCAAGATCTGCAGGGATGGTGTGATATGGTGTTTTCATGACAGCTAAGCTTTATGCAGGATTAATCTATTGAGACTAAAGACAATTTTTCACCTTTACCTTCTGTTAGAGTAGTGCTGAGGACTTTAAATAACTTTCTTTTTTGCTGGATCTTCTTCCAGCAAGAGGTACTGGAAGACAACTCATGCCTTAGCAAATGTCTTGTCTGTGCTAAACTGTAAAAACACATTATTTTTAGAGCTATTTTAATCCTTTCTCAAGTGACATGGTGACTTTATTTTGTCAGTTAATTCCTTATCTTTCATTGTGTATTATAGTTGTGCACCATTATTAATTCCTGAATAAACTAAACATTAATTTGTCCCAAATACTCCAATTAAAGTATTAATCTCTGTTTCCAAAGTTATTTCTTAAGTAAAATGAGTAATTCACTTTAGTCCAATTTTCAGAAATTTGATTCTTACAGGTAGTGTATCCTACAGAAGTTCTCAGTCATCTGGAATAACATCAAGCCAAAATAGTAGAATAGGATCTGCAAGGTAATTCAATACCTTTTCAAGATGTTACTATCTCCTATGAGAGACAGGAATTTCTTTTGTCTGGCCTGCATTAATCTATACATTTAAATGTTATATTCTATTAATTGATATGTTTAAAGGTTGTATTCTATATCTGAAGAAATGTTATTGTGCAGGCTAGCTGTCACCTATATGAATACGTTTCTTTTTGTTGGAAGGTTTTATTTTGAAATCACTTCCTTAAAAAATGTGCAGAGATAATCTGAGTTCCTGACATCTACAGTCATGGCACTTTTATACAAAGGGTAGTAATTTTATGGTAAGAAAGTGCAACAATGTGTCTGCTTTATAATTCTTCCAAAAATCAGAGATGATAACTCAGTATCTACACAAGAGCTATTCTCTGAATCACCTGAACATCTTCATACAGCTTTTAGCAGCTCTTTCAGGTTTTTTGTCTAAACATTGAAAATGTCTCAAACTGTGAAAATTATTAACATCAAGAAAAAACTTAAAATGATTCTATAATAATTAAGCCAAATATATCTTCCTAGGACAAATTTAAAATATATATATAAAATATTTCTTGTTTTCCATCTCTGATTCTCATATGATTCTCTTGTTTTGACCTTCTGCTTTTTTAAATATGAAAAAATCCTAAAGAAGTAAAAATCTAATAAGGAATATGTAGAACACTAATTTATAGCATTTTCTATTAAAATATTAGCACCATGAATTTAAGTGGTTTTGAAATCTCTGTACTATGAAAGTAGCCTCAAATCATATCCATTAATTAATTTAATTAACAGATCCACACCTATAAGACTACCACATAGTGGATGTTCAATTACAACATCATCTGGATCACAGAATAGTAGAAGGGGGTCATGGGGTCCTTCTGATTTTAGAACCCCTCAGTTGTACCCATTTACATCACCTTCCCCTCAGTCATCTGTAACAAGACATCCAATAACCATCTCTGGACTTCTGCAAAGACAACATTTAGGCAAGTATATTTTATAATATAACATTTAACACTTCCTGAAATTTTTTCAGCTTAATATATGCTTATTACATATTTACAGTAAGTAAGAAATAAATTAAGCAACACAAAAAAGGTATTTCAAAATTGGAAGTAGGGTATCAACAAAATATGAGAAATGTTGACATTTATCATCAGTATTTTGCCTTAGCCGCCTATGCAATAAAATATCTGCTGTGAAAATGTGTCTTGCTTCACCTCAGAATAATATTTTAACAGAGGTTTACATCTGAGAATTTCCATAATTATTTTCTAGAAAAATACCTGTTCTATATAATGCAAAGCATATAAAAATTTGGCAAAAACTAATCCTTCAACAAGTCTAAAGTAAGGAGTAGAAAAAAGAAAAACATTAGTGGAGGAAGTGCAGTAAACTCAGTGGGAGTCATAGCAAGACTGAGATAGTCAATGGGAGTCCTTTAATAAAACAGAATAGTTGAGTTGACACATGGAAAAGAAGATAAAAATTGTCTGTAAATGAAAAGAATGAATGGGAGAGAGTTCCTCTATGGCTGAATGGGGTGTTGTAGAAAGCGAGTGACAATTAACATCTCACTATGTCCAGCAGAGAAAAAAGAAACTTAAAAGGAAACTGCAGTATTCTGAGAGTAAGAAGTGAAGTATTAGTCACCTGAACAGTGATATATCATGAGAAATAATGCATGAATCTGTAAATAATGTTGTAGAAATTGAATTTAAAAAGAAACATTTATGTTGAACTTAAGTGTTAGTTGTCTTTGAGCTATGTTTACAAGTTAATTGCAGTTCATATGCAGAACAATGCTTTGGGCATTCACTTCTGTAGCTGAAGTTGAGATATGGCTAAAATGCTTTTATGAAAAGAGAAACTTAATTCTTTTACATAAACACAAAGCAGCATGTTTAGATTCATAAAAAAGCTATACAAAAGTTCTCAGCAAAATGTATGATTTGTATTTTTAATTTTTGATGGCTTTCTCTTTCTCTCTTCCTTGGATAATTTCCCAAAATAATTTACATTAATAAAGTTTTCTTTTAGTCTTACTGAATTTTTCTCCATTTGTACTTGTATTCTTATTTTAGGATCGACTAATTTTGGAGGACATTCAACAGAAAGATAAACATCTCTGAATTCCTTTGGCCAATAAGCATCTGGAGAAGCCCTACACAGTATCTGGATATCAAAGTATTTGTAATTTCCATAAAATATCAAATTGGCATAAACCAGCTAACTATTCAGCATGAATAATGTATTGAAAACATCGCTGATCTTGCTGATTAACATCTACAGTAGTTTTAAACAGGAGTACAAAATCCTCTTGCTGTTTTTAGAAATTTTGGCTTAAAATATATTGTAAAAATAAACAGCGTTTATTATTAATTGTTAAGACAAAATGTGATTATATATTCAACAAGCATTTCTTCCTGTGAATGCACCGAACTGCAGCAGAACTCTGTTTTAAATGGTTGAGCCTGTACAGAGATGAGCCCCAGACATAAAATAATTTAATTTATGGATTTTTGATTGCAGAATTCCATAGTTTGGTTCTTACTCAATAGCTCACTTTTTGATTGCTTTGTTGAAAGGAGTAAGGTTTGAGGGATATTAAATTCTAGCAGGCTTTGCTGAGCTCATAATGCAGTATCTATGCCACACTCCAAGAAGTTTACCATTTGATTTAGGTAGCAATGATTTCTTCCCAAAATTGAATGACATGGGGGAACTGGGATGAAGAGACAAAATGGGGTGGAAACTACCTCTACTCTCACACAGAAAGAGCAACTGGAGACTCTGAATGGAGGGTTGCCAGAATGCAACCTTTTTCTTTTGAGAATAACTCTTAACATTGAAATTCCCACCATTACTATATATGTCTGGGAAAATTTTGGTATGACTGAGTCATCAAATACACACCTTTGTTTAGTTTTGGCCCTAACTTTACCTGTACTATTTTTAAAATAGTAAAACTAAAAGTTGTTTTTCTGAGATAAATTCTCCTAACTAAATGATACATTTTCTTTTGGGTTGAAATGTTTTGCTTGACCTAAGAGAAAAATTAGAACAGAAAGAGGAGTGCAAAGAAGTTTTTTTGTGTTGCTGAGACAAAGTGTTAATTCACCCAGAAAACAGATGAGTGAATGATTGTTCTTACTGCCTCGTAATTTGATTTTATCATTCTTACACCATCTCCCTAGCTAGCTATTGTGATGAGTTTTAACTGGCAAGTGTGCCCCATGAATGAGAGTAAAATAGGTGGAGAAATACCTGGTTTGCAAACAACTCTGGAACAGGGGCTTCCATAACAGATTTTAAGATTCACATTTCCCTTATTTCAATATAAATCTGCTTTTACTTTTTTTACCATGGGAAAGTTTGTGTGTTTTCTCTCCTCCCCAATATTCCTATAGTGTTAGATGGGATTTCTAAGTAAATTTCCTTTCAAACAAACTTCCATTTGAATGATTTAGTTTTACAGTGCAACAGACAAGTAAAGGACTGAGGTGTAAAAATTTGAAATTCCTACTCTCCTTTAGTTCCAGATGAGCTAAAATAGCTTGAAAAATGAGGCTAGTAAAATATGATTCCCAGCTTCCACATTAATTGTGTCTCAAGTCAATGATTTTCTGTTTGTTTGGATCACAAGGTGGTATTATTTCTAATTTCTATTTTATCACACTGCAGAGTCATCATCTAAGTCTACGAAGTCATACTATAGCTTTTATAACTGCTAAAAGTTGCATTCTACAATCAGGTGAAATATCTGGGTTTTATTAGTTTTGTTTCTCCTTCCTCCCATCCCCCCATCCTCCCGCCGTTCCCCCTCCAATTTTACGCTTGTAAATGAAGAGAATTTGAGTTTGATAAAGCTGCAAATTTGTGTCTATACACGGGACTGCCTGAAGGTTCCCTGGAAGGAATCATATAGGAAGGAGTCATATGTGCTAATTCTACAGAAATAAAAATAATTTAAAAATGCACCCCATCATTCAAAGATGTGAATAAAGCTACCCAGAGAGCTGAATGATTTCTGCAGTGCTGCTCACCACAGTGGTTTCCACACAAATTCAGTCATGATCTTCACGGCTCTGCTAATCTTCACCAGTTCACCTTTCGTACGGTAAAAGCTCAAGACAGGCAGACTGTCTTTTGTGGCTGTAGACTGAGAAGAGAACTTGGAACATCACATCAATAAAGAAGTATAGTATAAAAATGGGTATTTATACAATTTTACTTCTGCTTTGAATTACTTAGTAGTATCTAATACTATCTTCTACTTAACAGACACAACCTCATCTGTTTGAGCCCACAATCCAGTCCTGAAGGAAATAAAAGGCTCATCTTTGAAGATGTTACAACTTTGAAATGTATTTTGAAGAGAAAACAAAATGTAATTTGAGTAAAAAAGGCATGGGAGCTATATATGCTGAGTAGAAATAGCTTTGAATAATACCCTCATGCTTCCCAGTTCAGAAAAAAATGAAAATTTTGAAAACATAAGTTAATGAACTGACTATTATTTGAAGCTTACATCGAAGTGGCTCTTAAAATAACTGCTATGAAAAAATAATCAAAAATTTAAAAAAGCTGTTTGAGGAACGTACTTAACAGGTTCAATGCTTTTATCATTTGTTCAAAAAAAAGTTGAAAACACTTAATTCAGTATTTTCTTTTTTAAGAAGAGGAGAAGGGAAAAAAGTAAAGTTTCCTCTGTCAATAAGTACAAAAGTTTCTATATTAATCTTTTAGGCATCCATCTTCACTGATTTTTTTTCTTGCTTTCGTGACGATCTAACGTCCTTTATTCTTTAAGGAAATTTGCAGTACACTAATGATACACCAGAGGGTGCTAACTTACCTCGAAACAAATTTATTTAGTCATCCCACTCGGTAAGTCGAGTAGAATCTGTACTGTTCTGGCCTTTTCAGTTTCGAGTTTATGTAGAAAAGCTACAGATAATAAGAAGATGGGCAGCAAAGTGGTGTAGACTCTGAAGAAAAAACATCAGAAAAGCTCCCGAACATGAATAACAAAGGAGAGGGACTGAATGAACTAAACTGGAAGTTAAAACAGTAATTCAGGTACAACAGTCCACAAATATGTGAAAGGTAAAAATGGAAGCAGGGGTTAGTCATGCTGCTGGGGTGAGAAGTACTGGTCTGAAGGAAGAAATTTAGTCTTGATAGTGGGAAACTTTCTTAACCCAGTACTTTAGCAACGTGCTTGTCTCTTGAGATAAGGTCCATGCACCATCACAGTGAGTATTCAGGGTTTCAGAGGTAAGATGCTGGTAGTAAAGACCTGGTGAATAGCTTTGAGAAACACAGAGACTGAGCAGGGCTCAAGTTCTTTACAGTGTTTTTTGTTTGCAGCTTTCTGGCTTTAAATCATGAGATGGCACCAATTTCTCTTCTGCACAATTTTCTGTGAGAGAACACAAGAGTATATATTTCACTAAAAGAGTGTTTTATGCACATACAAACAATAGTGTAAGATTTTATTACAAGTCAGAATCATGCTGTTCATGCAATGGGGTCACCACTAATGCTGAAGGTATCCTCTTTTTTGCATTATCGTTGCCAACTTCAGCTTCATTTCACAGTCATCACTTATCTTTTTCACAAGGTGATGCTTATACCATATAAGGTAGCATCATGTCTATTTATTGCTTTGTAATACAAAGGAAGTCTGTTACAGACAAACGCCTAGTCTCTTAGACATAATACCTGATACTTGACAAGTAGCGTTTTCTACAATTGTGCCAATTAAAATGCGAAATTGCTACCACTTATGTTTGAACTCTCATGTTTTGGCAGTCAGGAAAGAATGCCATAACTCATCAAGATGTAGCAGTGTCGGCTTATCTACCATAGTCCTATTTTTCCTCTGTAATTTAACCTTCTGGTGACCTGAGGAAATGCAATTTGATAATTCTCTCTTTCTGTGGTCTCCTTGTCAAAAGTGCCAACGTACTTGAGTCTGCAGATCAGCTTTGTGTGCCTCTAGAGCATATGCTGTTTCTGATGGTCAGACATGTAACTGCGGTTCCAGACTCTTCCTACAAATCTCTTCTGTGCAGATAGAAACATCCATGAGGATAGGAGGACACTGCTCGTGTCCTTGCAGTGAGCGTTTGGTCTTCTTTCATATTGCACCTTTAGGATTGCTAAGTGTCCCGTCAGCTCCAGCAAGCTTTAGCACTATGCAGTCACTAAATCATCTGCATCACTAGAACCCCTGACTGCTACAACATGTTGCAGGGAAAGCTGTTTGATTTGCACCAATATGTACCAGTGCTCTTCATAACAAAAGGATCAGCTTGCTGAATGTCTTTATGGAGATGGTTAGTGATGTCCTGCCACAAGGATCCTTTGGCTGATGTGCCCCGTGATCTCTGGTCAGCTTTTCCCTTGATTATGTTTGAAGCCCTGATACTTTGTCCCTGGGAAAGATACTAAACATTTGTCCTGGACTCATGAGGGTACAGTAGTACCAGGGACTAGGGTGCCAGCTGTCTAGAGGGGATAGGGAAAGGACTTCCTTGAGACAAAGTGATATCTGAGTCGTGGTGAGGTGGGAAGGCTTTTTAGTGTTAGGAGGTAGTGAACAAGCTGTGTTATCAAATTACTCACAATTTACCACCAGCGAAAGAGAAAAAACTCATTCTATTCGGCAAATGAAGAGAGATGCTTTCCTTTTCTATGCAGGACATGGAAAAGGTCCCTCACAGTCGTGCCCATAGCAAACAGCAGTCTCCTGACCTTGCTGCCATAGAACTATTCATAAACCACCAAAGCTTGAAAAGAGGCTCTTCGACATCCTGGTCCACCTTGCAATACTCTGAAACCAGGCACTTATCCCAGTTGTGCTGCCAAGGCCCACATGCAAAAAAACCCCAAACGAAACTCTGTAGAAGACCAACAACCCTGAGAGAATCCACTCTAGAGAATGGCCCCATGCAGGCGGTATTTTGTCCTAATCACCACAGGACATCTGCAATAAAGGCATACAACACGTTTCCTATCAGGGCAGCCTCTATAACAAGATCAAGAGCTGTCTATCCCTGTGTTAAGGCATCTGGAGGAAACATCACAAAAGAGAAGAGGAAATCAGTCCCACTA